TTTGATCAAATCAAAATAATCCAAGAAAAGGGGCTTCCAATTCATTTCTAACCTGTGTACTGTACTGAAATCAGACGATGCAAATGTCTTTGCTAGTTGCCAACTGCTTTCCTGCCCTAATTTAACATTTTAACCACATTGTACCTGAGGGATCTCCTCTCCTATGATGAATTCATTTGGACATTAAGTACTCAGGAACAGCCCTACAGAGCTCCCTACTGTCAGAACCCTGCCCAGCAAGGCTGCATCACACCATAACTGTGCAACACCGCTTCTTGAATCCAGCAACTGATTAGGTTGAGGTCCCTGTTATGGTCAGATGTGATACATGACTATATGAGGGCTTGCATATATCAGCTATGAAGCTTGTGACTATTTCCACAAGAATATTCTCTCTAATGAGACTGGTATAGGAATATCAAGCATATTTCTATCTGTCTACCTACCCATGTTTTAACGACTTCTCTTGTGTTTTGTTTTCCTAGTCACTGAATTAATATTTTATAGGTTTACTCATAGCCTCTTGATGATTGGCAGATATAGGAATAGAAATTATTCTGAGTGCGATTCCAGAGCTCCCTTTGGATGTGAGTCCTTTGCTACTTTTTTTTGTTAATGTTACAATGAGCTTAATTCTGATTCCAAAGATTGTATGTTTTGTCTGGTAACATTTCTAAGGATTGAGAGGAAGTATCACTAAACGTCTGTCTATTCAAAGAAAATAAAGAAGATAGTGGCAAATCTCAGGGTAGTATATTCTTAACTTTAACAATAGATCTGCTTATTAAAGTTGGAACAAGGACAACTGATTTTTCTTTTCTCTTACTAATTTTCAATATTCATTTCTACCTGTTTGTGAAAGTAAGAGATGCTCAATGAAATTTTGGGCAAAGGTTTTTGGATGGCTGACATTGTGCTTCATTATTCATATCAACAGTTGTATGCTATCTGCTCCTTTTAGATGAATAGAATATTTTCTAGATGTAAATTATAAATATTTTAAAATATTTATTTTAAATAAAATAAAATATGTGGAATAGCTGCTTTAATCATTCTCCTATAGGTATGAAAGGGCTTCTACTGAATATTTCCTTTAAGGATTTTAATAAGGTCAAGATGAATTCAGACTACGTAGTATAAGGTATATCTGATTTATGGTTTTTAGTTTTTATTTTTATTGTATTATTTAATAGAATATAAGGTATCTAACCTGTCTATTTCTAACTCAAGTTACAGATTTGGGAAGTAGTACTGTATACTTCCCGTAGACGTTTAGATTAAAGTGGCCTGAAAGTCCTGTAAATAAATAGATTTTCAAAATTAAAAAAAATACATAAATACATGTAAATTACATTAAAGGCAGATGATTATCTTCTAGAAACTGAAATTATATGTTTTGTCTATGGTCTCTTACATATAAATCATTAGTACATGATTTAGAAGTATGATTTCTATAACTTGAAAAGTGCAAAAAGAAATTTGATAGCATTTGACTTGATTTCAGAAAAAAAAATTAACGTGTAATATATATTGTAGTAGACATTATTGGTGAATTGTTCTGGGAACATTTTAGTGACATAATGTACATGTTTCTCAATTATTATAGGGGGAATATATCTACCTAAACCCATTAACAGGATTTTAAATGGAGAACAAC